GTCCTGTTCAAGCTTTCATCATTCAATAAGTATTTGTGTGTCCTACCTGGCACCTGACCAGGGACACTATTGCAGAGCCCCTGGTCTGACAGGGAAAGCAGACATTACATGAGGCAACACTGTGCAACGAGTGTCACATAGCAGGAATGGGTGGTGGGGGGGGAGGGGGGATAAGAGGAGACAGTGAGGAAACCTGGAGAACGAGTAGGACGTAGCCTCATAAAAATTCGGGCAAGAGGGGTCCCATCTCAAGGTGGGAAAGGTCAAATATGGGAGCAAGGTCAGAGGAAGCGGGTGGGGGACTCCCGTGGACCTCCTGTTTTCTCAACTTCCTCTGATTACTTAAGAGCTATTTGCCAAGGGCGTACCATGTAAGGCACCTTCATAGTTTCGGAGGGGGAAACTGGCCTTAAAAGTGTTTATAATCTAGAACAGCAGTTCTCAACCTGTGGGTCGCGACCGCTTTGGGGGTCGAACGACCCTTTCACAGGGGTCACCTAAGACCATCGGAAAACACATATATAATGACATATTGTTTTGTGATTAATCACTATGCTTTAATTATGTTCAATTTGTAACAATGAAATCGGGGGTCACCACAACATGAGGAACTGTATTAAAGGGTCGCGGCATTAGGAAGGTTGAGAACCACTGGTCTAGAAGCCGTAAGACAACCAACCACAGAAACAACTAGAGGCTCTCATGTAGAGCATTAATAGACATAAATGGCATAAAGAACATGCGCCCAGCAGACACCGGCGACAGACAGCACTTCTGAATGTGAGAACTGGGGAGAACAGGGCTGAGGGCTGGTCTGAAAAGAGAGTTGGGGTCGCTCTAGGCAGAAATGCAGGACTGAGGCGTGGAGGAGACACCCCCGAGGAGGAAACAGCGTCAGCAAAGATGGCAGCAGATTCAGGTCACGGCCAGCTCAGTCTCCTGCTACCTCAGGGCATCTGCCCAGAAGCAGGGCTTAAGCTGGGCTCCGTGGAGTGTGGCGATGCCTGAGCATTCCGGCCATGCACAATGGTCCTTATGTATGGTGTGCACTTGCCTGCAGACAGGGCCCACAGCTCGTTTCCAAATCTCCAAAGGGTCTACATCCGAGAAAAGGTTAAAAACCAGTCCTCCAAATCTCCCAAATTAGAAGTACAGGTGGACTGGGGCCTCTTCTGTATTATTTATTTATTTTGTGTGTGTGTGTGTGTGTGTGTGTGTGTGTGTGTGTGTGTGTGTTTTAAACAACAAGATTGCTCTGGAAGTGACCTGTGCACACCTCGTAGTTGTAGACAGGGCCAAGGAGGCCTCGGAGTGCCAGCCTGCAGAGTTTCCTGCCCTTTGCCCTTTGCCCACCCCTGATCCCCCACCCCCGGTTTTACAAGACCAGTCCGCACCCTCGCCACAGTCTCCATTTGCCCCGAGAGAAATATGGAAGCAAGGTCAGACGAAGGGGGGGTTGGGGGGGGGGGGGACTCAGGGCGTCCCTCAAAGGCTGGGCATCTCCTTCCGAACCGGGGTGGGCGGCAGACGTCCTGCCCTCAGGCCGGGGGTGGTCAGCGTGACCTGTCAGCCTCCCGCCGCGCAGCAAACCTAGGTCAGATTCTGGGAATTTCCAACGCGGCTGGCAGCGCTGCGTCAGATTTTCCCGGACGCGGGCTGCGGTGCCCGCCGAGGCCGCTGGGGGGCGCGGCGCGGGCCGCGGAGCGTGGGAAGCGCGGGCGCGCGGGCAGGCTGAGCTCACACGCCCGGGCAGCGGCGGCGGGGCCGGCGTCCGCAGCGGCTGCGCATCGCGCACCTCCCAACGGGGCGCTCCCGGGACGGCCGGGCGGGTG